CCAAAGGCATAGCTAATAATTAGTAGCAGAGCGTAATTAAACCTGATTCTCTTTCATTCTAAGGCCCACATGCTTAATCACTCTACAGTCTTCCTGCATAAGGAGTTTAAATTTTATCACATAGATGATAAAATTATGCCTCATGCGTCTATAATGGTTTGCTGTATTTAAAATATTTTTATATGTAAAATAAATTATTCTCATAATCTGGTGAGGTAATAGGCACGTATTGAAGGATAAAAGCCATCGTGTCATACTGGCTAAATGTTGTTGACAGAAAGTAAATCCAACAGTGATGTGTGAAGGAAGGAGGGGGCAAAGAAAGACCAGTTATAAGGCTGTTGCATAACAGACTCAGTCAAGATCAACAATGATGATGATCCAATTAAGAAGAAAAGTAGGTTGAGGGCAGGCAACCTTTTGATGAGCTCACTAAGGGGAAGGACCAGCCCAGCCGGTGTGTCTCAGTGGTTGAGCATCGACCTAGGACCCAGGAGACCAACGTTCGATTCCCGGTCAGGGCACATGCCCAGGTTGTGGGCTCCATCCCCGGTAGGGGGTGTGCAGGAGGCAGCCAATCAATGACTCTCTCATCATTGATGTTTCTCTCTCTCCCTCTCCCTTCCTCTCTCTGAAATCAATAAAGATATATTTTAAAAAAAGAAAAGGGGAGGGTGTAAGACCTGATAGCTGCGAGGTTAAGAAGGACCCTTACTTTAATCCTTCATCAATAGAAATTGATTTCGTTGGTAAGCCAGAGATTTCTGCTTTTATTTAATTGTATAAGCTGTAAGAAGCTACTAGCACAGAAATAAACAATAACTGTCAATATTCTTGACATTCAACTTGATACAGAGCTTATTTCTTATGACAGAATAAACAGGCTGCTCTTCCCCAAATGCTACCCAAAGATAATTAATATAACTCTGTATGCTCTGCTCCAGGTAGAGGGAATTGTTGAACCTCTGTTTTTGTTTGCTCTTTAGTTACAATTGACATTTAATATCATTTTACATTACTTCCAAGTGTACACATAGTGGTTAGACAGTTATGTAATTTACACAGTGGTCCCCCGATAACTCTAGTCCCCACCTGGCACCATACATAGTTACGGCGTATCACTGACTGCACCCCCTGTGCTGTATTTCATGTTCTCGTCACTGTTTTATAACCTATTTGTACTTCTTAATCCCTTCCCCTTTCCCACCCAGCTCCCTATCCTCTCTCTCCTGTGGCAGCCATCAGCTCTCTGTCAAACTCTTTCAAGACTTTGTTCAAGGGATAGCTTGCCTTATAATTATGGAGCTACACCTAATACTCTGTGGTTATATTTAAAAACGGCAACTTCCTGATAAAATCAAACCCTTTGCAACTAAGCAGATTTTTAAAAATTGCTTGTTCAGTAAGAACACAATTTAAACTGTTTTTTTCCAGGTTCTTTAGGAGTCATCTTTGTCTCCCCTCTTTCTCTCTCACCCCATGTCAAGCCTACCAGAAATCACGCTGCTTCTGCTCCTAAAATATAACAGAGTTTAACTGCTTCTTGCCACGTCCATTGCGTCCACCCTTTCTGTACCACAGCCCTCGGTCATGCTGTAGGGTCATGCATCTGGCCTCCCGGCTTCTGCTTGTGCCCCCTGCAGCTTATTTTCTATGGAGCTGGCGGAGGGCTCTCGTGCATACATAAGAGCATGTCACAGCAGGCCCCGCGTCTCACTGGGCTTGCAGCCGGCCTTAGAGTGCTGTGCTCGGCCCTTGGTAAGCCGCCCGCCCTCGCCTCCCCCTTGCGGCTACTACTCTTCCACTCTGCTCAGCTCGCTGAATTCCGGACCCCCTGACCATCTGCTGCTGTGGGATCCCACTCAGCACTTAAAACCCTTTGCCCTCCCTGTTCCCTTTACCTGGATGCTTTTTTTTTTTTTTTTTAGCTCCCCAGTTAACTATCTCCCTCACATCTCTCAGATTTCTGCTAAACTCTCCCATTTTCAATGAGGACATCCTGGTTCTGTTTAATATTTCAACCTACCCCTTCTCCCATTATAATCCTTGCTACCCTGTTTGGCTTTTTATAATGTAAACTTCTGTTGTCTTTATCTAACATACTGTATGACATACATAAATATATATGTACAATATATATTATTTATTATGTTGTGTGTGTTTTTCTATTTCTCTGAACAATAGGCAGGAATCTTTGTTTTTGTTTGTTGATGAATTCCAAACACCGACTACAATTTATGGCACAAAGCAGGCACTCAATGAGTTTTAATGAATAAATAAGTTAAGCCACAATATTTTGTGAATAGTAAGGAAATATTAGTGGAGTTATTAATGTCTTTTGATGTATCTGGGACAATTAAACCAAGGTATTTCATGGCTGGAATTGCAAATTATGAATAGCTTCAATTGTTTTGTTCTTGGTGTTCAAGCTATCGGCAGACCAATAATTCTTAGAAAGCAGATTAATTACATGAGAGAACTTCTATAGTGGTTGGAAAAATAGAGATCAAAGGATTTTAAAGATCGCTACAAAAGTGTTTTCAGAATAATTTATAAAAGTGAAGCTACATATTTTTCTGCTGATTGATTTCTATTTTGTTAACTCTAGAAGTGTTTCAATTGTTACCAATAATTTTTAGAGTGTTCCTTTTTAAAAATAATTCTTAAATTTTATTAGTAATAGTGCTGCTGAATGCTTTGAAGCATTTAAAATTATAAGACATCATGATATATATACAATGGAGTATTATTCAGGCATGAGAAAGAAGGAAACCCGTTGTTTGTGTGACAGCCTGGATGGACCATGAGGGAGTTAAGCTAAGTGAAATAAGACAGAGAAAGAAATAGTGATAGAATCACTTATATGTGGAACCTAAACGAAAAGTTAAACTCATAGAGTAGAAAAATTGGTTGCCTGGAGCTGAGGGGTGGGGGAAACGGAGAGGCTAGTAAAAGGGTACAAACTTTCAGCTATAGATGAATTAGCTCTGAAGAGCTAATGTAAAACATAGTGGCTATAGTTGATAACACTGTACTGTACAATTGAAATTTGCTAAGAGAATAGAACTTGAATGTTCTCACACACACAAAATAAATACATGCGGCGATAGATGTGTTAATTCACTAGATTAACTAGATGGGAGGATTTTGTACACAACATATATATATATTATCTATATATATATAGATTATATATATATATCTCAAATCATCACAGTGTACTTTAAATATCTTACAGTTTTTTGTCAATTATATCTCAATAAAGCTTAAAATAAAAAATAAGTAAATTTATGAAAGATTATTTTAAATGCCTTTCTAAAGTTTAATGTTTTGTTTTTATTTAGTGTGTTGTGTGGTCAAGCAAATATTCATTTTCTCATGGATGACAACTCTCATGAAAAGGACAGTATTGTAGTATGACTTGACATAGACAGACAAAGCATAGAGTTAATAGGTCTGTCTAAAGAGGGGAGCCAGTTGTAATAAAATGAGAACTCAGTTGTAGCTTGTGTTGTCCACAAATTCCCACTGGGATAGGAGCATGCTAATCATTCTTCCATCTAAGAAGAAACTGAAATATAGCTCATTAAAAGAGCAAGGAAGGGCTGGGATTTTCAACCTGCATACCTCCCGAAACGGTTTCCTCTACCTTCCCCTGTCTCTTGCTGTGATGTGTTCCATCCAGCTGCTGAAATACACTGCCTTCTGGAAAGAAAAACCCACATGGCTCAGACCACAGCAGTAAGTCTGGTGGAACAGATGGTCCTGTGTGAATTGTTATACCTCTGCACAAAACCTGGGGATTTTATCAATAGGCTTTACACTAAGTAATGGCAATCAGATTGACAGACGAATTCACAGTAAGGCTTTCATGCTTATATCCAAACACCGTGCTATGGATTCTTTCACTGTGCTATTCGAATCAAGCCAGAACTGTTCTGTGAGTCAGATACCATACGTACAAATGTATATGCACTCATTTAGAGTGTTTTCCTTATTTAAGCATTGAGGTAGGATTAAATGAGAATTTAGTTCTATATCCCAGTTAGATTTCCAAGTGGGGTTTCAAGAATTATATGTTCAAGAGTGGTTTTTAAAACGCCATTACTATTTCACATATAAAAGAAGTTTTGTTGGTTCATGTATTCAACATCATTCAATATTTTTATTTACTGGTCAAAGAGGGAAAATCAGAGAAGAGGTTGAGAAGAAGAGAATTCACATTTTTCAGTGTCTGCTCTGAGTCTGGCTCTTTTCTCCATTCTGTCTGATCTGATTCTTAAAACTGTTCTAGGACTCATTCCCACATCCATGCTTTCACCACTCTGTCCAACACATGCTACAGAACTGTTATTTGTAAATCACTAAAAATACAGGGGATGAACAAGACAGATATTGTTCTTATTTTTGTGTAGTTTTAATTTGATCAGGGAAGACATCCAGTAACAAATATCCTGTTGTAGGACAGGATAAAAGACTTTATAGTAGGAGGACCAACCTAAACTAGCTGGGGAGGTGTTGGGAGAGTAGGAAGCTTCCAACGTTGCTGAATGAATGCTTGCAAGTCTGACTGTATCATCAACCCAGCTGTATTCCAAAGAAAAAGTACGAGTTGGCCCGTAGAAAAGTGTGTGTGTGTTGTGGGGGAGCCGTGGCGACAGGAGACCTAGGGAGAGAGATGGAACTGACAGTAATCTGGTGACAGCAGGCTGCTAAAGGAGACAGTTGTTGTTTTTTTCCTACTATAGCTGAGGCATTTAAGATCACACAGATAAATGCAAGTGGAATTTGAACTTGGTTCTGTCTAAACCCCACATTCTTTCTCGTAAAACATACCTTTTCCCTGTTGGTCATCAAATCATGCTGAACTTACTGCTTTGACCTACATCTGCAGAGTCTTTGGCATGGAGGCGTTTGCATTTTCACTCAGATATACTGCTTTTTTAATGAAAGTAAGTCACTGTTCATGCCTTCAGAATCCTCTCTGTTCTGTTTTTCAGTGTTCCAACATTCCAGAGCCTTCCTGAAGAGATCCTCAGTAAGCTTGCTGATGTCCTTGAAGAGGTAATTTGTTTTTAACACTTGAACTTTTCCCGATGGGACCTAGCCCATTAGAGCTGGGCAATGACGAGTTACAAACGGCAGGGAGACCTTTGAAATATCGTAAAGCTCCGGGATGCTTTTTATTTGGCTTCAATAAAAAGGCAGCTTAGCACATCTGACATTTATACATAGTCAGAAATGTGCAAATCAACTATGGAGGGAGAAAAACTTGATTGTAGCGAATGTCGTATGTCACTTAGACTTCCCAGAATAGGAGCTGGCATGTTTCTGTCTCATTTCAGTCACTGTAAAGCCAGAGTATAGTAATGGCCACTCTGAAGCTGCAGGTTAGCATATTTACAACAGGAATTAGCACTTGAGGATATGTTTTATCAGCACGAGTATATTTTACTCACATCATTATATGCTTAAATGTGAACGTGTCACTTACACTTCTTTTTCTCTGAACCTATGAAGCATGAAAAATGTTGAAGCAGAGGAGCTGGCCACCAGCAGCATCTTGAGGATAGGGTTTCTGGTGCCCGCAGACACTGGGTGGGAAGCAGAGTATCTGGGCACACGTGCAGCTGGGTGCTTGGAGGGGTGGTTTTCCACAGAAAGCCTGTTCTGGTATCTTCTGTTTTCTCAGTGATCTAGAAAGCGAGGTCGTCAAGTGAGAATGAAGATTGGGTAGAGATATGAGAGGTCTGAGGACAGGGGAGGTGGTGTGAGAAAAATAGAAGAGTGAATGGACTAGGAAAACACAGTATGATTGCCAGGCATCATTCAGGCCCCACTTGATGTTAGCAACCCCAAATCTAAGCTAAACAGGCCAGGGAGAGTTTATTTAAGGCTTGCAGTAGAGGAGACAGAAAACTCAACTCTGTTGGGACAAAAGGTGGGAGGATTTTTAAGTGCTGAGGTGAGCCAGAGGAAAAGTACTCCAGTAGAGAGATTGGGACTAGGTCATGTGTGTTTGCTAAGTACTCCTCTGGAAGTTAGGCTCCTACCCTCCCACAGAGACTGGGAGATAGGGGCCCCTTCTCCTCCTATGATTACATTTGTAAGGAAGAGCTCCTAAGTCTTTGGCAAAGCCCCTCCTATAAAACTGGCAAAGGCTGGGAGAAGCTTTGCATCTTGAAGAGGCAGATTAAGCATTTTCAATTGCAATCTCTCTAAAATAAATGATCTAAGAAATAGAAGATCAGGAACCTAGAGTCAGGAAGAAACTTGTCTAAAGTTAAGTCAAGCTGTGTGTGTATGTGTGTGTGTTTCAGCCCCATTTGTTTGCCAGCCTTCGGGTTCCAAGCAAGCCGAGAATTGGATTCAACCAGAATTGTTATTTTGCCAGGAAAAGATGAATGGTTGAGGTTAGAGGTTAGGGAGTTGAGGTTGCATGTGTAGAAAGGATTATAATGATTGACCTTGGAATTTTAACTGGGCAAGGAGAGGAGTCTTGGAAGGAGCAAGGGCCAGTGAGAGATTGTAGGATCAATGGATTTTAGCCTCATGACCTTGAAGAATTTTGGAGTTGTGCTATAATTGAGGTGAACTGGAAAGATACTGAAATGTTTTGTCTCCAGGAACTAACTATACCAGTAAATCTACCATCTGCAGAACTTCAAAAGTTCTTAGTTTGAGGCTTATCAGAGTGAGATTCCCTACGATTTATTGGTCTCCCTCATCTTATATCTGAACACAAAGTAAAACCGAATTCACATTTGATTCCTACATTCAAGCATAAAAAATTCATTAAAAAAAAAATACTGGCTGTATTTCTCTCAGAATGTGCCGGCCATTGTACCTGAAACCTCTGTAAATGGAAAACTACTTTCCCCAGTTCCTTTGCTTTTTGCTTTCCTTGTTGAATATACTGAAGAATTCTCCAAAGCCTTTTTTTCCCCCTTTCTTCTTTTTTTAAACAAAACAAGCTAAAGTACAAATTTACTAGTCCCAATCAAGGTCATCAAAAACAACAACAACAAACAAGCCATGAAATCATTTTATCATTTCTTTTCCAGAGCTGTGAGAGCATTTGCCATGTTTTGCAAAAACAATAGCCATAGCTCTATAAATAATTCTGAGCAAAGAAAATAAATATTTTAGTATTTTATGTCAGATTTTCTAATCAGAAGATGCCTTAATTAATGTTTGGATTCTGCAAGCCACAGTACAATCTATACCAACAGCACACGAAAATGGAAACAGAGAATTCAGTGGCCCACGCATTTGTTTAGAGGACATGAAAATGAAGTAAGTAGACCAAATGTGAAGCAGGCAGATACATATACTACCCAGCGCATGAAAGTGTTCAACTCGAGTTGAATAAATAAACGTAGTGAGACATTAGATTAAATCATGGATCAGAGAGCGTGAAGCAAATTTGGAAGAGCGAAAGAAATACCAGTGTCACATACCATGAAAGGGAGTGGGCGTGCGTGATAATTGGGCTGTCTTACTACAAATATCCACAAGAAGATGAAAGAGTCCCCGATTATCTTGAAAGGCAAGCCGGTATTATTCTAACATTCAGCAAAGAAGCTTGCAGCCTTGTTTGTTTGACAAATATTTAGGGAGTGCCTGCCATGTGCCAGCACTTGTTCCAAGCTCTGGGGACTCGGGCTCTGCTGTCCCATAACATATGTTTCCGTGGAGGGCGCAGGGGAGAAGTTTGTAAGGAAAAGAGCCTCCAGTGATGAGGCCACTGTGTACTGTGTTGCTAATGGAAGCCTCTTTGCTGAGGGGATATTGAAGCTGAGATCTAAATGCAGACATGGGTACCATGTGGACCAAGCAGAGGGAAGAGCAGGCAGGAGGTCCTGAGGTAGGAACGGGGTTGCCGTCCTGAAGGAGCAGAAAGAAGGTTTACAGTGGGTAGGATGCGGCTGGAGACAAGCAGGCAAGGCCAAAGGAGCAGAAGGCTTTGCCCGTCGTGATGAGGACTTTAGTTTTTATTCTGAGCCCGGTGGAAAGATTTGGAGGCGTTTACCTGGTAAAATGACACAATCAAAGCTATGTTTTAACAGCATCTCTGGTTAGTGTGAGAAGAATGGATTATAGAGGGACAGACCAATGAGAAAGCTGCAGCAGTCACCCAGGCGAGGCTGGATGGTTTATATGGAAACCGACTTTCTTATTGACTGTTTCATTCCTTATATTCATTATAAAATAATACTTCCAGCATCAGAGAGAAAAAAAAAAAAGGGGCCAGGGGAGACAGGGACTGAGAGGAACAGAGTATAACTAGATGGACAGAGGAATAAACATAATGGTATTGATATGATAAATTGACGTAGGAGGATACACGTGACTAGAGGAAAAATGTATGATACTTGGGGCATCCTATCCTGGAGCGAAAAAAGAAGCCTTTCTATGAGCCACTGCTGGCAGCGCCCCTCCAACCCCAACCTGCGCCCCTCTGTAATTTCTAGACTGTATGTATTCATTTTCTTCCCTATAAAGTTATAAAACAGGAAATAATATCCTTGTTTTTTAGTGTAGCAGTTTAGTGCCCTTTTTCCTTTCTATCACAAAGTAGAAATATTCCTTTGTATACTGACTCGCTCATTCCTTTTTCAGAAACATACACAGGTTTTCTCCAGTCCCTTTGAGCGGTGTGTATATGTGTAGATATAAAGAGGTTCTTGGTGAAAGGCCTACCTAGATCAAGCACAATCACCAAACATTTTCCTAGGTTGTGTTTTTGCAAGACACGTTGAAATAATTAACTTGATTCTCTAAATATTTACCTTCATGGTCACTGTAGCATGTTCTTATATCTGCTCAAGTCTAAATAAATATCAGAGATCATTTTAGAACCTCCAGATATGGTTTGTTAGAGAATCCATTTTACAGTTTGGAAAATAAATTGCAAGAGAAATTTTAGGTAAATATAGGGAATAGCAAGTTTTGACTTTATAAGCTGGTATCATTAACCTCTATACTATCCTTTATATTACAGTAAAATATGTATTGAAATGAATTAGTCAAGTATTGGAGTCTATTTCGAGGGCCTAGAAAGTGCCTGGGGTCAATGAGAAGAACTGTGAATTTATAAGATAAGATTTAATCACTTCTTCCTTACTACAACAACCTAACACTTTCCTTCTTCCTTTATGCACATGTGATTAGTCACTGTAGTTGAATTACATTTTTCAAATGGATGGAATAACCCTTAGTTAATCTCCATCTGAGAAATAAGTCTCTTTTAATGATTAGCTACCCAGGCACAATGGAGAAAGGTCACGGTGAATGAACTCTTTCTAATATGTACTCAAATATTAGGACTGTGCTAACATCTTTAAAGAAATTGACAAATAAAAACATTTTCTTACAGAGAAGTGGAGCGGAATTAAATCTGGTATCATGTCACAAAAAGTGCTTGAAAATTAATTTAGGTAGGGGTTATGCTTCACCAGTGAGGGTGAAAAGGTATAGGTAACTCAAGGAAAACTGTACTTTATTGAAAATGCAAGATCAAAGAACAAATAAAGCCAGCAGATTCACTTTTCACCACCTGGTGTAGCTACTTTCCTTTATGCGAGAGAAGTGGGGCATAGGTGAGATTTAAATCCCCTGATTTTTAAATGAAAAATAAACCATATTAAAATCACTTCTTTGCTTATATTGAAACCTATTTCATGTCCAGTTTTCTCATTAAAACGTAGGATTTGATTGTCTTAGAGTGAAAAAACCCTCTTGGCCTCAAGTGCTTTTAAAGAACTCTGCAACTATGAGTCTGCAACTTTGTATGATTGGATCTTTGACACATTTGAGCCTACATAATGTTCCCAGTGGTGTTCCTAGGTTGTGCATTTATTTGCTTTTGTTTATTGGATATTTAAACATTATGGCCCTGACAAGGTGTGAGACAAATAACATTTCTCTGACTTCTTGAATTCTTAAGAGAGACATGATGAGAAAGTAAAAACAGGAAAAGGTAAAGATAGAAAACATTTTTCAACTCACCATTGCTTGATAATATGGTTGGAAGCAAATATCATATTATGCAGTCCAGAGGC